AAGTCACCCCAGTTGACGGTAATTAATGTTTATGGTAATATCATATCAATGAAGGAAAAACTAGTAAAAGTCACAGAAAATGTCATTTATTCTACCTCTACATTGTCTACAATGAAAGAGGAGGACTTCAGATTACTGTTAGTAATGGATGAGTACTCTCTGCATGCTTCAAATATTTTAAAATGAAGTTTTATTCCCAGTGGCTACTCTGGACACTCTTTTTTTGCTTCTGGCACCTTACGAATAGCATATGGAATTTTTTTGAAGATGCCATTCGATAGCCCTCGCAAAGAGCTATGAAATGAGCCTAAACTTGTTCATGAAATGTTTCATCGTAAGAAGTTATTAACAAAAAACGCTCAAAACCGTCCCGAGTAGCCCCGGTTGACGGTACTGCGTTTACCCTAGATGTAGAATAAATGACATTTTCCGTGATTTTTACTTGTTTTTCCTTTAACCCTTTATTGATTTGATATTACCATATTCATTAATTATGTATTATTGATGTGATATTACCATATCCATAAACATGCCATGGAGCATTTACAACAACCTTGTCCACAGCCCATTCATTCGGCCCATTGCAAGCTTCATATCAGCAGCCATATAGCGCTTCTTCTGTATCTGTAACTGACTGTAAGCTTACAGGATGGCTTGTAATTTCACACCATTCTAATTGTGTTCGGTGAATTTGCTATGAAAAAATACAGTGAAAACATACCTACCTGAAACAAAAAGGAATGTTTTAGTGACAACATCATACGTTTTGGAGAAATAAATCATAGTTTAGGTCAATTACAGGGGCCTTCCCTTATTCCCCCGTTTGATGGTACTCTGGTCTTAAACTATAAAAATGGCAGAAAAGCTATAGTTGCTTACTTGGGCTCAGAAGCAGAAGTTTGATATATTCTATCCTTAACCCATTAAAGCCTATTGGCAACTTTAGTTGCCACCTCAAAAAAGTGGTTGTATTATCCATAATATAAAGTAAATTTCAGTTTTGTAGACCCACACCGCATCATACATGTTCCATACGATTACTGAACAAGAATTGTTCACCTCGGTTGCTCCCCCTTCAGTCAGCTGACCTTCCAACTACAGGCGGTCACTGTGTTTTTTATCAGGCCTGAACCAGCCCACAGTAAAGGCTATATTAAAATTGTTTGTAAGTAAATATTTCATAATTCTAAGTTTTGAAATGATGGATTAGGAGTCTAGCAATGAGGCAAAATTCAGAAATGGCATTAAACATTAACATTGAAGACAATATAAGCTAAATCATACATAGTGGCAACTGAAGTTGCCACTCGGCATTCATGAAATGCAAACTGTATTTTTGTATGAATGTGAAGATAAAAGGCTACCTCATGTTCTTCATGTATTATAACAAAATAAGTTAGCATCCAGTTGATAGAAAAGTATTTTAATGAAGTTTGATAGTGATATTTGTAACATATATATACATATATTCATATGCAAGTCAACTTTACCAGAAATTTACGATATATTGGTAGATTGGGACTAAAATTACAATGAGGTATTATTTGCAATTTACCATGCAAGGGAAATACTCATACAAAATCAAACATGGATTCGGACGATTTTGATGATAAGGTTGCTCGTAAACCTGATAATTTCCCCAGATATATATTGATGAGTCATGTTGTCAAGATGATAATGAACTAAAGGAAAACCACTTTCAAAGAAGCAAAAATTAATAGTTTATAAATAGAGCAAAGATGAAGTGACTTCGTCAATACCTACCGCACTTTGGGAAGATTGACATGCTATCCAGTACCGTAAAATGGGGTTACTTTGACCGGTGGGGTAACTTTGACCACTTTTTGTTTTCTTAACAAAAACCCCCAAAACTCAAAAACGATATGACATAGGAAAATTTTGTCAATGGCCATCAAAGGCCTTATGCTGAGGCTACGTAACAAAACAGAAAGATTTAAAAAGTTTGCATATCTAATAGGTTAAAAAATTAATAATGTGACCCACAAGTTATTTTACCAAAAAATAAAATTGATTTTACCACCCGGTCAAAGAAACCACAAAAGCTGGGGTAACAAAGACCATCACTTTTTTTGAAATTACATCAAAACTATATGAGAGGCAGGAGCCAGCAATTTATGGTGAGTAAAGCTAGAGTATAGACCTGTATTTTGCATGTTTCAATTTAAGTTTAACTTTTCTAGTAAAAAAATGGCATCATTTTGAAAAAAAAAGTGGTCAAAGTTACCCCATTTTACGGTACTCTCTGACTGAGGAAAGTACCTCATTAGACGCAATGAATTACTTCTGTACTAACGAATGGATAAATCATTTAAGTGAACAGAGCAAATTATATTCTCAGCAACAAAATCTGCAGTGTAACGAGATAAATCTTGTTAGCATGGGAGTATTTCTGCCTGTATTGCCTTTCTCTTGACACAATAAACTGCCTCATAGAGGGCTCTACTGGTCTGATTTGTTTCACCAACAATTAGCAACTTATCGGATCCAAAATTCACTCCAAAAAATTGTGGTGGTACTTTTTCTGGGCCACCACCATTGTTAGTGCCCAAGCTGTAAATGCTTCGAGATAATTCAATACATGTGGTAACAATATTCTGTGGTTGAAATTCATCAGAGATGTTGTTATAGGAAACATAAAGACTCCGCCCAGCCAGGAAGTAAAGCGGTTCTAAATTTGCATCACGTGGACCCGCTAAGAATATTGTCACAGCAGACTATATACTGGATAGTGAAATTAAGGAGATACAAAGTATGCAAAATGTCAAAAAAGCATAAGAAGGACTGCATGCAAATGCAAATTATGCACTATTGCTCATCACCCAGGTTGCATGGAAGTTATCATTACGATGTTTATTCTTCTATGCCGCAGTGGTGATTGATGATGTTTACCATTATAAATGTTATTGGCCCATTTTCTCATGTTTATCAATGATTTAAATACTGAATGGATAAATCATTTATCATTCCAAAATATTCGTTTCATTATTTCACTTTACCTATAGCAAATTTAGTTTTATTGGCCCTACTCAATATTTTTACCATACATTACATAAAACTTCATATTTGTTATCTTACTGCCGAATGGCAACTTTAGTTGCCAGGCCATATTTTAGCATTCATCTACAATTTTCATAAAATAAATGTTTTAATAGTTTAACAATGACCAAATGAAGTATTCAAACTGAAAATAATATTTAATTGTCCCCTAAATAATTCTCGGCTTTAATGGGTTAATTGATTGATGTATGCCATTTTTGTTTGGAATAAATACTGTAATGTTATGCTTTTGTAACTACCATATATATAATTTATATCTATATTCATTAATCATTCCTATTCATTTTTCCTATTAGTATTGTTGATTTTATCTATCTTACAGATAGTATGAATTATACCTTGATAAATATTATACAAATTCAATTTTTCACTGATAAATTAATTATAGCAGCTGCAAAGTTATGTATTTTTAGTAAATCTGATTTCTTATGGATGAATGATATTGTTATGTTAACAATTATTTGGGACTCTACTATTGGCAATAATTTATCAAGAAGAAATTATCAAAAACCATATCAGATTTAGCTTGGGAAATAAACATCTTCTACATCAAATTTTGAATTTAATTTAATTGTCATACAGTCATACTGATGATAAATGATGGTACTTCCTTTTTTAGGTTTGCAAAAGTTTTTTGAGGTCTTCAGGGTAACTGGCTTTAGGACTTGTGCAAAAATCTCAACAGATTAAATAAAATGGATTCTTTTTTGGATTCTTGGGTGGTCCATCTTTTTATTATGCTACTTGGCTATGCCACTGTCTTCATTCCAGGATATCTTCTGATAAGATATTTAAAGAGCATCAAGTACGAGGAGAATGCTGGTAAGTTAAATGCCTACTGCCTTTTAGTGGGCCAGTTTGAAGAATCAAATTAATGTTTGTGTTGATATAAACGATAATATAGCATAGTTGTGTAAACTTTGATTAGGCCTTGTTGAACTGTAGCCAATTCTTAAAGACCTGGGCACCTTGTTTATTTTGGCCTAAACTTTCACATCTAATAATTACCGTACTACTTCTAGTCCAGGAATGTTTATGCAATATGTAACACTACACTAATTTAGGCTTTTATAATGAAACATAAAAACCTTCAAATAAATTATATTTCGTTAGGAAGTTGTTTTCCAAGATAATTCTTAGTCTTGTACTTCTGCAGGCAACTCCATCATATCTCGCCTGATAATAAGCTGTGTGTATGGCAGCGATGACTGGCAGCTTCTTGATTCAAACGCTGGTGGCACTTCACCTCTGAAAACTACAAGCTCTAGCAGTTTGAGAAGAGCACTTAATCTTGTTTTTTGTGTGATTGGCCTACAAGTCTCGTATCTTACCTGGGGGATCTTGCAAGAAAAAATTATGACCAAAGTAAGTTAGTTATATACAAGTTATATACACCTTATTTGTCAGCCTGTTTTTAATCAATAATTAATTTTTTTTTATGTGAGATGTGTCAATTTTCTAGTGAATTAAATTATTAAATTTCTGAGCAAATTACTACCAAAGCTTAGCATTCATAATTTGCTAAATTAATTTACAAAAAAATTTCGAACTTGAGCCTGGAAAGAGTTTGCAAATTTCGATTGACTTCATTTTACTTGACAGTTTTTCAGTGGGTTTGTTCATTAATTGTGTTTCTGGCACACTGGTGATTAAGGACTATGATGTGTGTCACAAAACTTTTATTGTTCTTCCTTACTTCCAGGAGTACATTGGTCTAGACTTGCATGAAACAGGCAGTTTCAAGGAGTCGCAGTTCCTGGTTTTTGTAAACCGTATTCTTGCCTTCCTGTTGGCAGGAGCTTATCTTTTAGTATCTAAGCAGCCACGCCACACTGCCCCTCTATACAAGTATTCTTATTGCTCATTTTCTAATATCATGAGCTCTTGGTGCCAGTATGAAGCTCTGAAATACGTCTCTTTCCCAACACAGGTATGTTTTACATGTAAACATACGGTATACTAATTAGTTACTGTACAGCTAAAACACTAGGAGGCATATGCTCTAGAGTCTAGACTCTAGAGGCATAGGTACTGAGAGTACTTCCTTGAATTATCTTTAATCTGTAAAACACACTCATAAATTCACATGCCGGACTTTTTCTAATAGTAGTAGGTACTTTAATTGGTGTGATTATTCATAGTTGTTGCTTTAATAATTTCTTTATCCTCATGACTTATTTAAAAATTGGACATTGAATTTTCAAATTGTTACTTGATTTTAGCAATCATTATTTTATTTTTTATTGATTGCTATCTGGATGATGACTATTACAGGTTCTTGCCAAAGCCTCAAAAATCATACCAGTGATGCTGATGGGCAAGCTAGTAAGTGGCAAGTCCTACGAATATTATGAATATGCCGTGGCGCTACTCATCTCTACAGGCATGACTTTGTTCCTCTTTGGGTCCACAACTGACTCCGGCAGTGAGGGACTATGTAGTTGCTTTGTTTATCTTTTCATAAATTTTTGTTATCATAAAACTTATACAATCCTGTTTGGCGTGTTTATCAGATATTTTCACAGAAAGCATTTGCATGCACATTTGATTTCTAATTACCATTTTACACAACTCAACATTGATAAATATCAAATATGATATATTTTGTGACGTTATTATTTGTTTGGAATTGACTTAACCCAACAACTACACTACCTACTGGTTGTCAAAATCAGTCTCATGAATCACCCTCTTGTTTCAGAAACTGGCACTTCAACTACACTCTCTGGGGTGATAATCCTGGTTGGCTACATGGCGTTCGACTCTTTCACCTCCAACTGGCAGGGCGAGCTCTTCACCACCTACAAAATGAGCTCTGTGCAGATGATGTGCGGCGTGAACCTGTTTTCCTGCCTACTGACGTCAGTGTCGCTGCTGCAGCAGGGCACATTCAGCGTTGCATTCGCTTTCATGGTCAAATTCCCAGTATTCCTATGGGACTGCATTGTACTGTCTGTACGTAAACAAATTTTTCTTGTTTCATTATCTTATATTTCATTCAACTTTAGTGAATGTTGAAATTTTGCAATTTCACACGTTGGTGTGCAATTTTTCCTGTCAACGTTTAACTTGAGTCCATTGGTTTAGAACTTTTGCTACCGTATGTTTCTGTATTACAGGTAACATCTCGTTCTGGATCGTTGAGGAATTTTCAGTACTTGCTCAAGCCTTGAGCATGAAATTGTCTTTGTTAAGTTTTTACTAGAAATTGAGTAGTTTTTTCACTATGAACTGAGCTCTCTTGGTTATACCAAGAATTTACAAGCAAAGAGAATGGTAATTAAATTCACGATATCTGGTTTTCCATACATTTTCAATGTAGACATGTTGAATTTATTTGGCATTTTTTTGTAAAACGTTAAGGTGAACTTGGTGAATTACGTAATTCTGGGTGAACTTGCAATCTAGGCGTAGGTACTAATGGATAGAAGAACTTATATTGAATTTTGGTGTTTATTTCTATCACTTCCTGTTGTTTAGTGTGATGAATTTTCATTCGGAAAGTTACTATACTACGGGTATATTGGAAATGATACTTCCCCATACTAAATAATGTGAAGCGTATCATGGTTAACTGAATACTGGACAACGTGAAATACATCTCAGTCAAGCATTTGGGCTTGATTGAGATATCAATTGATATACCTAGTATTTCTGTCTGATGTGCCTCCAATTCATTGAATTTTTTCTGTTGGTTCATTTTATGACTTGTGCTCAGCAGTTGCATTTTTCCCTTGATGCATTTTATGACTTATGCTCAGCAGCTGCATTTTTCCTCTTGGTGCATTTTATGGCTTGTGCTCAGCAGTTGCATTTTTCCCTTGGTGCATTTTATGAATTTTGCTAGCAGTTGCATTTTTCCCTTCGTGCATTTTATGAATTTTGCTAGCAGTTGCATTTTTTCTCTTGGTGCATTTTATGATTTGTGCTCAGCAGTTGCATTTTTTCTCTTGGTGCATTTTATGACTTTTGCTCAGCAGTTGCATTTTTTTTCTTGGTGCATTTAATGACTTGTGCTCTTTTGTTGCAGGTGTGTTCTGCTACGGGGCAGCTCTTCATTTACTACACCATTGCTACGTTCGGTCCTGTTGTCTTCATAATCATCATGACCGTCAGACAAGTATGAGTTATGAACATCATCAATTATCATTATTATAATATCTTAAGCAGGAATACATGGTACAACAATCTAATGGCACCATAACAGTAAAATATAATAATAATAGTATAAACATAGACGGTAGAAACGTTTGAATTTAAAAATGTGTACACTCCTGTATCATGAAATGACTAAATGACACTATAGGTATACTTCTGCATATCTGGGAATCAGCATAGCGTTCTAATTTCTCAGCGAAGCAAAGCTTTACCCAGCCTTCCATCATCATGTGTTAACGAATGATTATTTTACAGCTGCTAGCAATCCTGCTGTCGTGCATCATCTACAGCCATCCCGTGTCACTGTTGGCCGGCTTCGGCATCACCTTCGTCTTCATGGCGATCTTCCTGAGAATTTATTGCAGTCACCGCGTCAAGCAGCTGAAGAAACGACGCACTGCTGCTCAGGACGCGATCCGAGCTTGAATATCAGGCCTTTAAGGAGGTTAACACCAAAGACTATTCATGTTATCGCAGCGACCGTCGCATGTTTTTGAACGAAATTTCCGTTCTCTTATCTGCCACAATTTGCCTCTGCTCAAATTTTTACAATAGCTGACATCCACAGCATATGCTACGATCATTCCACGAGCAGTCCTTTATATTTCTCATAAGATTTAATCCATGAAAAATATGTTGCTACTAAATTCCCCGTTAAATTCATTTGTAATAAAAGCGGTCGTTGCTACACAGCAATGCATATGATTTTCTGGAATGAAATAAGTTTGCGTTCATTTTAGATCTGTTACTTGTTGTTTTCACGCGCTTGCGCTAATGCTTTGCCAATCTCATGCAAAGGCTATTATTCTATGTTGAAATTTAGTTCTATCTCATTTATCGTTGTCGTAGCGAGCTTACTTCCGAGTTGAAGTTATCTTATAAGTCATACATTTACTTACATGTGATCTGTTGAATAACCATCTACTTTGTGCAATCTACTGGTAATTTAGAAATTCTATTTTCTAATTGAGAGGACTTATACTATTTGGTATCCATGATTTCATTTACACGTGATTCTCTGGATTATTTGTTGATTTTTTAATTTATAAGAAGCATATTCTTGTTTATCCCTTTTAATGCCCTCTTTCTGTCATTGAGTCATTCAATTCATCCTTGTTTGTTCTGTGTCAGAAGTAATTTCTTCAATTCAATTTCATTTATTCTGCGTTCTGTATTATAACAATCAGTAACAAGCAATTGTATTGTTATCTACTTAATTATGAAGCTGAAGTCAAAGTCGAACTAACGCACAAAATGGATGCTTTGCTGTGTCACTATTTTTACGTTTCTGTACAAATATATTAATTTTTAATATCTCTCTGAAAAATACTTTTATTTAATTGAAAATTGTACATGCGAATTGTTGCGCGGTAGGTAATTTTTATTATCAATTAAACTAAAATGTGTCTATTTTTCAAACCGTGAAATGTATCTCTGTGAAAGGTGTCGAGTTGTTCTCCAATTTATGCACTGACTAATTTACGAACGTTATGGACGAACGTTTTGATGCCTTCCTTTCATTAATTAGTTCTAGCGCTATTTTAACAGAACAAACGATTTTATGTACGATATGCAATTAAAGATGTCATTTATCGAGAGTAAAAGAGTTGAAAACATTGCTATAAATTGGGTTGATTTTCCATTTGAGACGCAGAGGCTACTATATTTATGCTTTTTCATTCAATAAATTTGAATACATTTCATTCAATATTTTGGAAGTGGAACATACATTTTTCCAATTGGGGATATGATAAATAAAACGCGGTATAGACTGAATGACCCACCAACTAAACCTAATTGCCTAGGGTATTAAGTCATGCATTTATAGTCAAATGATATTACTTGACCCGGAGTACAATGTATCGTGAAAGTTAATCGACTCTGATCTTAAGACTGCATTTGTTAAAACACTAACTGGGATTGCATCAATGCTGGTTATATTGCAATGTTTATTTGCTATTTTAAAGAATATATTTTTTTTAATTTTTTAGCGCTTCCATGTTTGATTAATTTCTTAATTGTTCGTTTTGCATGTCAAAATTGAGCACTCAAACGATGAAAGCATCTCATTGCTCCTTAAAAAAAAGTTATATTTAATAAGAGTCTTCCGTACCGCCGTGAGCGCGCAAACTGGCTAGCCTTGGTTCCGTTCCTTCACTAAGTAGCTCCACTCTAACTACATTCGTATCAGATGACAGTCTGAATGTTTCATACCAATCCTGCTATTTGCTTCCGGTAGGCGCCCGTTGAGAAGTTGTTTGACGATTCTGTAATGTTACGTTTGTAAATCAATATTTATTAAGTATGAAAATTTTTCACTCCTATGGCAAAGCAGTGAATGCCTTTTATTGATTCATTACGACGTCTACCTATTTTCACAGTCGCACTCTTTGTCGTTGATATTTCAGATAAAAACAGTTTAAAGAGATAAAGTCTAGGAAAAAGAGCTGGCTATTATGTCTTAGTAGGTTACCTTGAAGCGCTTATGGCCTGTCGCTTATTGGTTCCTGTCAGTTTACGGCCAATCATCGATTACTTGAAAGTGGCCGGTTACTTTTAATCCGTACAGCTTCAAAAACCTGGTTGGATTGATAAGAAGATCAAAGGTAAATGGCAACAAAAATCTGTAGTGCGCCCGTTGTTGCTGCGGTATGATGCTCGTGGCTGCCTCAGGAAGACTCTTAGATGTTTCTTGCGATTCTCGTACAACGCTTTTTCCTTGTGCAATCCTCTTAGTTTAATTGTACTAACCCATTTTTCTATATTGTACTAATTTATTTGTAATGTTCAATTTAATGAAGCCAAAGTGTAATCAATGAAATGTTTCTTCTGATTAATAAGAATAGGTAGCATATCACTCCGAAAGAAGTGACTTCGTTGCTAATGTACTCGACTCAAAATTCTAAAATATTGTTTGTAATGATCAGAGACTTATTTTATGACAATCTTTTCTGAAATGAACATTAGCCATTAGTTTTTCTACCTCCGCTCTCCATTGTCGCTTTTTTGCTAAGCTTTATTTATCTGTAATTGATCAAGAAGCGTTCTGTATTTGCAATGTAAAAGAGATAGTGCATGACTTTGGTAATTTAATTTATCGCAATCTTGTACTCCGCTCAAATTCAAACTGCTTTCGCATGAATTCTAATTTATATTGCGCTCGATTCAATTCTTAGAATTAGGTTAATTTTTCTTTTAATGTAAGATAGCATTCTGCTTTTTTTCAAGATAATTTATATTTATTCTGCAAGTATATTCTATTGTTTCACTTTCTTCAACATTGTTTTACATTAACATTACAATGTACAAAACTTTGTCTTCCAAGAATGCTTAATATGTTTGGTTGCCGGTGCCAGTCTTCTTCAATACTTATGAGCGAAATTTTTTTTTTTTTCAAGAAAAACACATCCATACAAGCTCACACGGAAGGCTCTTGCAGCACGTGTTCCTAACTCTGCTTACAAATAAAACTAAAATTCCCAGTTTTTTGCCTCTAAGAATTTAGATAAAAATATCCAGGAACATTGCCCATGAGTGCCCCATTTTTGTTAACGGTGCTGTGGTGATATCGTCCATATGGTAGTTGTTTGTGGTGCTTTATTGATTGCCGCGATGATGATATTCAACATACAATATAAATTCGCTAATTTTACGATAACTTTCATTGATCATCAGCCAAACTAGAACGAAAGATACAATTTGATTGGAAATTTTTTTTATAATTGATTTTGGAGGCTTTTTGGTCATGCAGCAAGGTTAGGAACATGTAAGTAATACATGGGACACACATGTAAGTAATACATGGGACACACATGTAAGTAATACATGGGACACACATGTAAGTAATACATGGGACACACCTTATTATTGAAGAGTTTGGATGCGAGTTGTTCATGGAGCGAGTCAGCTTCATTCTATACACGAAATAATGCGGACCTTTACCCTCTCAGCCTTAACACTGAAGTTCTAATTCCATGAAGTGCTAACAATAGATTAAGTTCGTTTATGTATTCACTAATTTTTTTATACTTGATACTTGTAATTTGATCTGTTTATAATGAAGGTATTTTGCCTGCAAATTTGTTTATTTCGAAAATTTTGGTTCTTTTACCCTGCTTACTCGGCGTAACTGTTAGATCGATGGTTGTTGGGTGTTAGGTTGTAATCTAGTTTCGTTAAATGTAGAGTTAAATCTAGTTTCGTTTAGTCGTTTCTTGCATTTTATTAAACCCTATCATGGACATGCAGTTTATTGTCTTTAAAAAATTTCGTGTCTTTGAATTTAGATTAAAAAAGTTTGACTCTTTTTAGAGCATTTTCTCATTTATGGAAAAAATTGAACTATTGTGCTCGCCATGTCCGTCCGTCTGTCCGTCTGTCCGTCCGTGACTTCACGTTTTCGTCGACGAGAAAATGCGCTCTCTGTCACTCACTGCAGTGAGTACTGAGTTATATTTATTTTATCATGCAAGGAAATGCTTGGCATTCCAACAGCGCAACGCATGTTATGTAATTGTGTTCTTTTTATTTTTTTTTTAGTTCTTCTCTGCTACTGCATGCAGATTTTTTACGATATTTGTATTTAAGTTCAAAACCAGGAGTTTATTGACGTTGCTTCTGTTATAAGATCAACATTTATGTTAAGTTAGTGTTTGAAAGATATTTTCGAAGTTTCTTTCTTGCCGAACTGTGTCAGTAAAGAAATCGTTTTATGAGGATGAAATGCTTCATCCCTCGAATTTTTTTATTCGATCAAAAATTCCATTGAACTACTGGGATAACCTTGTCATGTAGTCAGTAATGTTTTGGATTATAAAACGTGAATAAAATGTTTGCTTCCTAATGAACTGCAATCGTATTATCGATAAGCAGGTCACTTCCTAATCAATTGCAACTGACAAGGAAAATTATATGCTAAGGTTGAAATGGTTATTCTTAAGGGATGGAAAGGTTGATTTCCTGCTGCAGTGTCTTGCTAATGGGGCATAATATTTACTTGAGGTTTTGAAGTAATGAATGTCGCTAACGCAATATACTGGCTAGATGTGCCGCATAATTATTTTTGTACTTTATCGTTATTAATTTATATTTTTTACATTACTTGCATAATTGCAAGATTTTTAAGGGACTTTTAACTATTTATTTTATATTTATTTGGGATTTTTATTGTCTGAGTCTTGGAGAGCTGAAGGTCTTGCAAGAGATGGGCTGTTGGTGGTTTGCTCGGGCAATATTTCATGGTGTGGCTTGCCGGATTAGGTAGCTTACCTATTGATATGATAAGTCGGTTGTTGCTTAAAATATATTTCATATGATGGTCAATGAAATTGTCATTCTCCACGTTTTTTCAATCCCTTTTTCAATCCCCAAAATAGGATCCAGTCAATGTACATGTAATATATACTGCAGATAACTACACATTCGACTTTCCAAAGATAACTTTCCATTCGACTTAAGACAGTGGTTTGGCGGTCTCATTTTAGGTAGTGAACTTAAATTTTTGCAATTAAAAAGAGAAAAAGTAAATAGGCGTTTGAAAAACAAATTTTAAAGTACAAATAACTTTTTATCGTGATAGCATGTCAAACTACAAAGATGATCATTCCAGCTGGGAAGAAATACAATAACTATGCTAGTCACGTCTACTCCCAAAAAATGGTGGCCTTGTGTACGTTTAACAATAAATTGAGAATTTTTCCATTGTGCATGCTACGACATCATGATATGATAATTCTGCATAAAATTATTTCAATCTTTCATAAATCAGCAGTAATAATTATTATGTCCTAAATTTATTATGCGCTTCGTGGCTTTTCCGTTATCGATTACGTAATTTACCTATTTTATTAGTATTACCCATTTAGGAGTCATATCGACCGCATATATCACATTCGTCAAAGTCATTTTCGACCTCAAATCCTCAGCTAAATGAGGATATCGTTGCGCCCATCCAAGGTTAAGCTACATAAAGTTAACCCACGAGAAGTTCCGTCTTTCAGTTCAGCTTTCTTGTTACGTCACGTAGATCGAGAAACGTAAACAAACCCGTCATTCCCATGACGGATTGGTTGACTGGTTTGATCGTATTTCGGTGATTGGTTAATGCCCGTGACGTCACTGAGATCAGTGACGTCACAGGCGAACAACGAACTTCATCCGCAAAAATGAGCTTCTCATGGGTCATCCTTTTACTAGTTTAACCATGCCATCATCATCCATCACGTAAAATGATGGATGCGTGACGCAACTGCATCACTTCAGAGCCACGATCTATAACCCATGCAGTAAAACGATCAGCAACGTTATAATGCATTGCAAACGTTGCCCGCAGACTCAAGCGCGTGGTTTTCTTTAACATTCTGCTGCAATTAGTTCATTAAATCGATTAATGCTGTGACGTACGTTATTATTATGTTTCTAAACGCATTTTTTATTATTATGTCTAAAATAATTTTTGCTCGTGGAGCAAGCAATGCATTGACAACAATTATCTTTGAAACCTAGGACCAGAGTGATTAAAATAACTTCTGTACAACGTTTCCTAACCCAAAAAATTAAATTTACTAGATTTTTCTTTCCGGAATATTCTGCAATTTTACAGATAGAATTTTATACGTTTCACTTCTAAACTCTTCATTTCAGAGCCTTGATTCCCCTAATTATTCATTTGCAATAACATCAAGGGAGTCTTGTAGTTTCTAAACTCAGTGCATGTCCGCGACGAGTAGCTCATTAGCACTCTGGTGTAGCGCCACGTTCTTGACAAACTTAGCAGTTAGCACCGTAGTTTTTGAAGTCTCATGGAAATGCCGGTAATGTTGATAGAAACCGGCATTGATGTAAGCTTCAAGAAGCATGGCCAACTCAAATTCAATATTGCGATGCAGACAATTTATTTATAAAGCGTGCACTAACAATTCATAGAGCGATAAAATCAAAGAGAATGTTATTGATGAAAACAATAATATTATTGTGTGTCAATTTCTCGTTATGGTTGAGGTCCGCCGCGATGTTTGCGTTTGTCGACAAAAATGTATGATTGCAATACTACCTCATTAAATTTTATAATTTACGAGAAAAAAGAAAATTTAATTTTTGCACCGCAACCTACAAATTCACTGATAGATTTTGAATTATTGACCTTTTTATCCGCGGACGCCCGCTTGTACGCCATCTGGTAGCGCTGGTGCATGGGTTGCGCCGCACTCAACGTGTTAAATGCTAGATTTGATACAACAAATTTTAAATTAATTCATCAGGAATTATACGACATTCCTGTTTAAACCTTCAAGAGGAGTATAGCCGATGAGCAGCTCCATTGTTGAAATACGTCTTTTATTGATGAATAATAGCGGTGATGCGAATTGTTCTGCGCATAGATATGTATATTGCATTGCCGCATCAAAATAATCTAAATTTTTAAATTTGTTTGTTCTAAATTCTTAATTCGACATTTTTCTCATTTATGAAAAAAATGCCCTATTGTGCTCGCCATGTCCGTCCGTCCGTCGTCTGTCCGTCTATCCGTCCGTGACTTCACGTTTTCGTCGACGAGAAAATGCGCTCTCTGTCACTCACTGCAGTGAGTAGGTACTGAGTTGTATTTTTCCCATTATATACACGTCTTGCTGATTTTGTTTACTAAGATATTATAGCCACGACCATTGTATAGGGCAGAATTACACTTTCTCCAGCGTTGTATGGAACGAGGGAACAAAGTAGAGGGTATAGAGGGTAGAGGGAAGGCAAGGAGGGTAGCAACAACAGGTGCTGTGGCCTCTGATTTATTGCACCTCGGCTTGCCAGGGAGGCACGTCACGATATCGTGCGAAATTTTTTTGCTTCGAGGCCTACACAAGGAGATTTAGAATAGAAACACGAGAGAGTACGCAGACTACTTGCTTGGGGAGCATTCCCATTACCACATATTTATTATAGCAAATCTATAACAGCATATCCATTACAGCATATGCAGTTTTGGATATTCACGGTAGCATACCCATTGTATCACACCCATTATAGCATATCAGAGCACCCTGACAGAACCCCTAGTAGCCCTGGCAGAGAACGAACGTTTCTTTGCCAATTAGTTGCTGTACTTCGAGAATCCTAGTACAGCTCACATCGTAGATGAAATTGCGCATATTAGTAGGCAGTTTATACCTAGTAAAATTCACGAGTTTTTAGTTGAGGGTCACACATGAAACGAAGGCCTTAGGACGTAATACAAAAATTTGCCTAAGTACAGGTAGCGCCCTAAGTACAGGCAGCGGCCTAAGTACAGGTAGCGGCCCAAGTACAGGTAGCGGCCTAAGTACAGGCAGCGGCCTATGTACAGGTAGCGGCCTAAGTGCAGGTAGCGGCCTAAGTACAGGTAGCGGCCTAAGTACAGGT